GGCCAAAAGGGTCGGGGAAAGCATACTTACGATTCACTTACCTTGGGTCAAATGCAGACGTTCCAGAATAGGCCATTGAACAGGATTACATTAGAAAGGAGGGCCAACCGTAAAGGTCCACTCTAGCTGAATTTCCTCAACTTAACGATTTTTTGCCTATTTAAAATCTGTCGCAGGCAAATTGTAAAATTAGGCATTTTGTCAAATGCCCCTACAAACAGTCAGTTACTCTAACTTAGATTAAAATTCTGGTTTTTTTCTAATTTCAGACAAAATAATATATTACTCTTGTAAGAAAGAATTCTATGTCAAAATGTGCATAGTTTCATTGTATTTTTAACGATCTTTAGATCTTGAACGAACAATCATCTTGAAATATTCGTCTCGTCATATAACACGGATTTTTTGACACTTAAAAATTTAAACGTATATGTATAAGAAGAGTGTGGGGAGGAAGGAACAAGGAGAGCTCGTAGATTTGATCAGTTATTTTTCCAAAATTTTGAAGAGACATGAACTCTTCTCCATAAATTAAAATAATTTCATAGTCAGAATTTGACTATATCTATCTGGGCATTTGATGATTTGACTAATTGCGTACGATATACTATCTAATACTGGCCTAAAAGTGGTTCTGAGGGCCGATTTTGAAAAATGCGTGTTTCCGGTCGAATGGTGACATATTCACATTTTTCACCAAAATCGGTTTTCAGGCCCATATTTAGGCCAGTATTCGACCCGATAAGAGACTGGAAATGACCGGTTAAAGGACATTACGTCAACGATTTTTTGTCCGCGCACCTGTTTTTTCCAGTAATTTACGTGCCCGCGTTTTTTTTCGGCACGGGAGTTTTGGTCTACGTGCCAGTTGAGACCTAAAGTTAATTGGCCCACATGTAAATACAAACGACAATTGCTCACGACGTTTTTGGATGAAAAGGTATAATGTCTTGGAAGAATGAGGGTTTGCTTGTTTTTTTGTTTTGTCTGTTTGGTCCAACGGAGAATAATATATAGTTGAGAGTTTTGGTAAAAATGGGGGAGCGTCAATTCCATGAGACAAAATTCACTAAAACTCTCTACACCTCTTTGGTGTAACAGGACTTAATTATCTTTCAAGAAATTCCCACCTTGTTATACCTGAACCGGAGAAACCTCTATATTTGCCTCAGCTAAAGGCTCTTAGATTTGTCCTGTGTACGATGATTATCTTGATTAATTTTGCGAGGAAAGATCTGTACTTTTAAAGGATGCCTGTCATTCTTACTACGTTCAATTTCGTATAATACTGTGCAACGCAGAGTGTGCAAACATTTCAAAATCATGAGTTAAAAAACGGTGACTGTGCGAGTGTAAATATTAAAGGAGCGGCGCGACGTGCTGCCAGCGCGAGAGGCTCACAGGCGCCTACAAACCTAAGTGGATACTTAAAGCATTGCACAATGCTTGAAGTATCCACTTAGGTTTGTAGGCGCCAATGCGCGTTTCGCGCTGGCCGCCCGCTCGCCGTGCGGCGGCGCCTGGAGCAACTATTTCACAACAGAGGTGTTGCAACTCTGCATTGATTATTCTCATTTAAATTGATGGGAAATAAATGTGTATCAATTTATCAAAGGAGAGTAATAATATAATGTGTGTTTTTTTAAATATTTGTGGTTTTGTGTCAAATTTAATGATTTCCAAAGCACTTTAATTTTTTCTTTTACATTTTGTGCTTTTATTGTGCTGCAGCGAGGTGTACGCGCAACCAAACGCTCAAAAATTTGACGTATTTGACTCTAAAAGATCGATGTACAAATGGATTAAAACTAAAGATTGCGTGCTTCTTGGTTTTTTCCCTCTTTTATTAATTTTTGCAGTTTCTGTTGGCACAACTGCGGCCCATTGAGATTAATGTCGCTTGGAAAAGATTTTACAAATATTTGTCACGTTTCAAAAATGTAAATGTTCTCAAAATGAAGTACCTGATAATTTCGTAAAGAAAAACATTTAAAAAAAGGGGGGGAAATACCTATACATATCTAAGGTATATTGTACATCGAATATTTTAAGGATAGAAATAAAACCAAATATTCACCAATGACAATATAAAAAGATGATTCAAAAGGAGAAAGTAATAACATTTCATTTAGAAAATGAGCAACCATGACACCTCCTTCTCTCTCAATTTCTCAATTTCTCATGTTCATATTATCAATATAATTTTACATACCGACTAAAATATAACGCTTGGACCAAGTCACTGTTGCTTATCTCACGTGTAGGCGTAAACTACTGGACAAAAAAGGTGCGCGGACAAAAAATCGTTGACAAAATGTTCTGAAACCAAATGACCAAATCATGATGTATTCTGTATTCGAAGAGCAGAAAATCGTCAGTGACGTCAGGCTTGAAGAGCCCACTATTTATAGCTGTAGGACTTAATCGTACTCATACATGTATATGATAAATTCGCAACTGATTCATCGGTCTCAAATGATCTACAGAAGGATTTAAAGCAACCAAACCAGGCTGTTTTTCTCGAATGAAAAATGCTTCTCGTGTTTCGGTAATGCATGTTTCTCGTTTCCGTCAATCGGCACTTGAAAGGGAAGAATTTGAGAGGCACCACAAATTAAACTCTAAAACCATCGTTTGGAGACTATCAAAAACAGGATCCATCAAAACAATTTGCGAGGACCATCGAAGCAAGGAGTCTAATAACGCAGTGAGATTCCTAAAATCATACGCTCGGCCGTATTGCGAAAGAGCCCAACGGACTGATTATTGAAATTGATAGACAAGGGTATAGACAAATAAGACAAAAGGGATTCATAGGGATCCAATTCGTGGAATTGGATGGTTGCGACGAACAAAAAAGGTAAGTAATGGACTAACTAACGGCAACCCACGAGAGGCTTTATAGTTAGTCCACCATTTTTGGCGTTAGTCTGTAGGAACCACCCATTTCAACCAATAGGATCGCTTCATACTCGTTTTGTCTTCTTTGTCCATAGCTCTGTCTACCAATTTCAAAAATCAGCCCGCTGTTGGTGCGATTCAATTAGATTTATGATGTATCAACAGCTACAACCAATGTGATGATTAGCGCGAGTTGATTTCATCAGTATAAATGCATGTAAAACAATCGATAAGTTTGAGAGCAATTCGTCCCATTCATCATCGAGAGTCGCATTTACAATCAAATTGAATATAAAAAAAATATTGCCATCAACTTGCGATAATTTTGTCACTCAGCTGAGTTTTGCTGAAAATTGCCCAAGTTGAGAAAACTGCTAGAAAGCTTGTGCCTTACTCAAAGATCCTACCTGAAGAGATGAACAGCGTGTATTAAGAAAGAGCCATATAATAGAAGGGGACGCGTAAGGAATCATATGTCTGTGTAAAAAAATTAATGTTAAAATAAATTTGATGTAATTAGTAAAAAAAGTAGATTCATTTTCAGTAAAAGCCGTCTCGGTGGATTTGCTGAATTTCACCTCATAGGCTACTGCATCAAAATTCTAAGACATATGGGCGCTATGTTTCTCAAAATCAAAAGAATAAATCCAGATTCCTCCGTGAAGCTTTAAATGGTCCGAGCTGTCTAAAATAAAAATATATGATCTAAAAATCACATTGCATCGGTAGTGGGACTAAAAAAATCTATATCTCAGTTTGTAACCTGTAAACTTAGCGCAGTTTATTTTGCCACTGGAAAATCAAAGATTTGTAATCCTTGGAAACTGCATATATTTATTTCACTCTTTAAAATATTCTAAAAAAACCTATTGAAAGAAATATTGGTGTTCATACAGCTTTTCCCCAGTTAAGAGAAATTTCCTAAAATGCAGTATGAACATGTGTTGTCTTGATTTTATAGTACCTCATCGATGATCATTGACTCTTTGTTTCTCCAATTAAGGATGGTAAGTTTCTTCTTTTTGAAGTCGTAGAACATATGGTTGTCTGATAAAAGGATAAATATACCTAAAATAGTAAAACATGATAAATAAACAACTAAATAATCTGTTATGAAGACTTGTAAAATTTCAAATAAAGTTAATAAATTGTTGAATTTACCAAATAAAGCTGTTTTATTATTCTTTTCTTATGCACTCCGCAATCCACATTTAAAAATTCAAATAGTTGCAAGTCAAACAACACCGTATACTTGTAGTTAAGAGCCTGAAAACCGTAACTCTAATTTTACTGATTCCGCGGGGGGAATCCATGGGATAGCTTCAGCGTATTTTGCAAACTTTAAAAACTCTGTACCTCAGTTGTGGTGTTAAAAATCATACCTAAGCTTTTTTTTTTTTTTTTTTTTTTTTTGCACATCGAGAACGTTAACTAGGTACACAATTTTTCCAAAATTGGTATTCTTACATTCCAATGGCTCTGAACTACAGGTACCCATTATGCTTGATTAACGAGAAAAAACGAGGACGTTTTTGTAAAAAAAACTGATCAAATTTTTATTACAAAGCATGAGTGTAGACAAACTGATGGGATTTTTTTTTTAGTTTTTATGCAACTTCTTGAGTTTTTCTCGTTTCATCATTCAATTTTGAAAACACTGACCAAGCATCACGAAGAGGCTTGTGGAGATAAAATAAGTAAAATAAAACATGGGATTCTCAATTTGGGATGCAAAGTTTCCTTGCGATTAGGAAATAATGATGTAAGGTTAAAAACGTGCCAAAATGTACAAGAAAGATCATAAAAAGTTGATCGATAACGCTGACACTTTTTGAAGTTGCGATCCCATTTTCAAAATGATATGGTTCACAATCAACAAAAGACATTGTATACATATTTTATCCATCCATAGTGTTCATTGACTGGATATTATATTTTGGAGTGTACCGCAGTTAAGGTCACGATATTTTTCAGAATTTCATTAGTGAGCAAGGCAATAGGAAAAACTTTACTGTGAAACCTTACATCAAAAACTTACACGCGGAAAGGGAAGAATTCGGTCACATAAGGTAAAGTATGTCTGAAGATGGAAACGTTCAGAGTAAGTAACGATGTTTATTTACAAATTCAAGAGCGTTTAGTGAAAAAAAAATGGACAACTGTTAATCGTTAATAGAGAAGTCGTGTAAGGTACAACTTTCTAATTTTTTAACCAACATCAAAACAAAATTATGGAAAAACATTTTCGTCCAAGCGGCATCATTCCTTGGTCGCAAAAAAATTCGTTTCACTTGTTCTTAATTTTCTACCCAACTATACCTTAATATAGCTCAAAATATACATGAATAAAGCTTTACCGTGATTTTTCTGTAATTTGAGATTAACAATGAAATAATTGAAATGAATTTTACAAAAATATACCTTTAAGTACATGGCACATCGATAATCAAACTAATTAGATTTCTCGACATTGACTCTTTATTAAAACTACCATGTCTGTCTTTCCTATATGCATAATAATCCTGTGAAAACTTCACGGAATGATGTTGATTCGTTTTCTCTCAAAAAAATTGAATCAGAGATCTTAAAACACCGCAAACGAGATACGTGGTTTGGGAGTTTTACCATCCGCGCATTAGCCATCAGTATTATTGTAGTAATTACTTTTATCCCTAGTGTCAATACAATTTAAGAGTTCTGTAAATGCAATTTTTCACCAATCTTTCAAATAAACTTCTGGAATACAACAATAATTCATGCCTTACTTATAAGATTATAAAAATAAATGTAATTATTAATACTTACTGGAAGCTTAAAAAAATATACATATAATTATATACATACTCAGAAGCAACAAAACTATATTTTATCTTCTAAATTACTGGTTAAAATACTGTATGGTTTCTTTTTAGGGAATAATCGATTCATGTGTACATTATTTCAATCATTTTCGAACACTTCGTTAAAATTTTCCTCTAGACCTGGTCAAATGTGATCTCACATAACTTTCCTGTGCGGTATCATGGCGTCCACAAAAAACAAGGTTAGTACCCTTATTTCATCAAAACCTTTTTTTCCCCCTTTTTTTTAAACCCGTTAGAACTATGCCCTAAAAATACAGAGCAGATCTAATTAATGCGTATCATGTTAATTTAAAAAGGTAAATGTTATAACCGAACATTAAACTCTGAACTGAACCACTCGCATAAAAAATGAGTCACGTGTTAGCAAAACTAAACTTTTTGGTAATCGTACAATTTGAAAAAAGAGTAAATCTTCGATGAGACAGAATGTCTTTGATACATGGGCTGTAATACGAACTTTTGTCTCTCTCCCCTCTTTCGTCCACTCCTATCCACCCCCTCTTCCTCCTTCTTCCCCTCTCTCTTCCTTGAGTGAGACCGAAACTCAAAAGTGGGAGAGTTTCAGCCACCTTATAAGGTGTGATTTTATCGATGCAAATTCAAAATTTTCTTAGGCCTCACAGAATTATTTAGAGCCTAAGCATTAATGACTGGTTTTTTCATAAACCCTTTTCATGTCATTTGAAAAATTTACGTCTTTTAGAAAATCAATATTTAATCAGTCTAATGACCTGACAAAACGTAAGCTCCTATAATTAAACTGTAATATTTAGCTGACTCCTCACGAAATCTTGGTGTTTTATGCATTCTATGAGATTGTTTCTGGCTCGAAGGTTGTGCGTATTTCATATACGATGGAATGAAGGGGCTCCTCCTTTATGTGTCTCTTGAGCTGTTATTGGAGGAGCGCATCACACACATCTACCGATGACAAAAGGTTTTTAGGTGAATTTCCGCGAGTTGATTTGATCGACTATTTCAACCAGGGTTGCAAACCAAAGATGAAAAACGCCTCACTGAAGTAAAAACCAAATCTTATCGCAAAAATTCGCCTTTTCACTTTCACTAGAGAACGACCTGTCCATCTTAGATACGCTTCCTCAATCCTCATAGGCCACCATCTATAGTCTTTTTATTGTTGTGTCTGACTCCAATCCAATCATTCTAATCGGGTGATGCTATAAATACAAAGTAGATGAGTGATAAAAATTCGTCTTCTAATCGTCAGAGGTCAGAGCCGATGAGTTATTACCGCTGTCCTCCTGATCGGATCAGAAAACAAGGAGACGCCGAAGGTATCTGCCAACGGAAGAGAGTTTGTAACAGTCGAATTTATTCTCGATGAACGGGAAGCTGACGCAGTATTCAGCGCATGGTTGTGGCATGAAGTATTTCCCCAAGGCTTTCGCACACTGAGCGCAGTTCCTGAAAAATCCCAAATAGTGCGGCGTTAGTAATTTATTTGTCCTTGTTATCTACTTCAAAAGTTAAACTTGTCAAATTTTACTGAAGGTTAGTAAAGGTTCAGTATGATGGAGGAGGTCTTTCGCATTGTATCATACGGAGAGACATTTTCATGGACTTCCAGTAAATATCAACGATACAATTTAGGTAGAAATCCTTGCAAGAGATTACAGTGATTTGTCATTACGGAAAATGTAAAGCACCAAAAAAATACTGTTCCAGGCTTAAAAATTGAAGGTAGGGGTGTACCTACCTCAAAGTTCGTCAAACTTGAAATATTTTTCTTTTCTTTCATTTCACAGTAAGATTTTTTGTAGTGGCAAATCATTGTTATCCTTTGTTTTAGTTTGCTTGTCCTCATTATCTACCTTAAAATTTGCACTGTCGAATTTTACTGAAGGTTCGTGAAGGTGCCCTCTTTAAGATGATATGTGAAAGGTATCCTTATCATGTGAACTTGCTAGTTTCAGGAGTTACTATACAAATACGGCCCTATCAGTTGCGAAGTCATGATAGATTATCGATACTTCCCCATTTGGAACTGCGGTGGAGAATCGATTATGAAGGTGCTATCGTTGCGAACACCCTGTTTTTCGATCCTTTTTCATAGGTTCGATGGCAGATCAATCGATATATCGCAAAACACGCCAGGCCACTGGTCCTAACACGGATTCTATCACTCTATCTGTCAACTATGCAGCCGTTTTCGCTTAACTTCCTGTTTCTCGGAAATAAAGTATTCGCTTCGAGTGGGGGTGAAAAGCAATCATGCTGACCCCTCATGCGTCACGCTGAACGTGAAAACGGCTCCTAAATAGTGGGCAGCGACGGTCCCTTGGTGACATGACAGTCACATTGCCATCATGCTACGATTTGCATTCGGCTTTGATTGGATGCCTCCCGACGGTCCCAATCTTCGACCCAGATAAACTGGAGACACGTGTAAAGCCTTCACACGCGAATGCGTAACTCATGCAACTGGTGGCCAATGGATCGTTAAGAAATGGTCCGTCACTGAAATCAAAAGTATGGTCGATTTTACCATATTATAGTCTAAAATACAAAACTAAAAACTTGAAATGTTCCGACTTAAAACTGGGTCCTTTTCAGTCGGAAAATAAATTGAGACTTAAGAAATATCGGTGAAAACACCTGAGACCTACATATTGGTGATCTACATGACTCAGTTTTGAATCGAAACATCCCGGGGTTTTAGTGATGTATTTTTAGCCTTGTTTCCCGTTTTCCCTCCTTGTTTTTTTTTTTTTTTTTTTTCATTTTTTGTTTCATGTGTCTCTAGATGCTTGAACAGTAGAGCTAGTAATAGCGATTCCTCATGCGAAAGTAAAGTGCAGTAAAAATGGTCATTCATACAAGGTATGACAGGTTTTAAAATCCTCTCTAGCATTGAAGGTCCTGCTTTTCCTGGAAGTTTCCCCTGTAAGACATAGCTTCTTAAGGTTGACACCCTCAGCCGCGCATTCCTGAAATTACTCTCAGTTTTGCGACTATTTTTGATAGCTAGGTCAGTTAAATCGAAAATCTCAACCCAGGATTCTGCAAGAGCCTTATAGTTCTTCAAAGAAATGTTTTGCTAGGAAATAATTCACAACACTTTCCTCTTAAAAACGTTTGATGGCTGCACCGATATGAACTTCCGACCCGTATTTAAAAATACCCTGTATTAATCCTGATTAATCCTCAAGCAGTGCTGTAAATTCTGGTACAAACGACGTAGAAATAATGGCCAAGAAGAGGAGACTGCTCTGGTTGCTTGTTATGATACAAATCAAGGAATTTAATGCTTCGAATTAAAAGTTCGACGCCCGTGGGGTTCTGAACCGTTCGACTGAAAATAAATGGGTTGCAGTAATGATCTGTAAGGCTGCAGATAAGGAGTAAAAATAGAATCAACCGCTCCCATCTTTTTGGGTGGAATGCTTGATGATCGGTAAAATGGTGGGAAGAATAGTAGTGAGAGTAAAAACTTGTCAGCTTTCAGGTTATCGATTATTATTTCTTTTTTTTTTCGTGTAGGTATGAAAAGATATTCCCCTCGATATTCGAAATCCTACTTTTTTCGACGGACTCTGATAATAAATTCTGGAAGAGGAACTTTTTGTCTCTAGACTTCCAGCCAGAAGTAGCTCGGTTAGAGTGTTCCTTGCAAAAATTTACCATCGAATTTTCATCCAGATTAGACGAGATTAAGCTCTAAAATATAGAAAAAAAGCAAATTTAACTAAACCTGAACCCCGGATTTCAGCGAATTTGAATAATTTTTGGGGATTGCTACCTTTTTGTCTCAATTTTAGGGATTGGACTTCCATACTTTTTTCTTTCTCTTCGCCCATAAAACCACCAAATTTTCTGCAATTTCACGGTTTTAATAATTTTGGCAAGCATGATCACCAATTTTTGCTTCATAATTCATACTTGACAAGTGGTCAACCCCTCGCAGAATGGCACGCTCGCTTGGTACATACTCAAAAAAATATATTTTTAATTAAACCGGAAAAGGTTACTTTAATGCCGTATAAGTTTGCCTTCAATTTTTAGTGCAGGCAACACGAGCTCCCACGTGATCAAATAGTGGTATCATCCCTTAAATAGTAGTCAAATAGTTTTTGCAGTGGCACATTTGTTGTGTACACGAGTGGTCACGATAACTATGGTAATAAGAAGAAAAAATATAGAAGGAAATAGAGCGAGGAAGAAAAATAAGAAATATGAAAGCCAATCTGACCGTTAAGTTAATAATTAACGATGAGAGTATAATCATTGAGCTACCTTTCTTTCATTTTTTCCTCTTTTATTTCAGAGTCTCTATTATATTTTATATCCTGTTTGTAGTGAATATTTAATTTAATAATATCAGTACTCACAAAAGGCAGATATTCCTTGCGATTTCCTCGGACTTTCTCCCGAAGTCAGCCCTGGAAACCTCACAAATCAGCAAGAGGACGCAAAATGTGCATATAACTTGCGCTGTAGAGGAGGGCGTTTCTCGATGCACCTGCGACAATCAAATTCATCATCAAGAGAGCACAATCCAACACTTGAATCTAGACAAAAGTTATTATAGAAGTAACTTCTCGATTGACATAGTCGTTCCTGAAAGATATGCAAATTTACTAAAACGCGTTGTTGGATTCACACCTGTCAAATTATTTAAAGGCCCCTCAAATTTTATTACCGCGACACTTGGATTACATTTTGCATAAAGGAACCAAGATCATTGGAATGTCGCTAAGATTTTGCATCTTATTTTACCTTGCAAATATAAATTGATCGTCCAAACAAGTATTTATCTTTACTCCCGATAAACTATAAATTCAAGACGACCTTCGTATTTTTAATTTTTTACATGATTTCAGTGAGAATGTAAGTTGCACAATCCTAGCAACATTGTAATGCTCTCGGTTCCTTTTTGCAAAATGCAATTCACTTCATGTTATAACGCGTTTGCATTTTGCTTCTTTTCATCGACTAAGAAGAAGGATAAAAATGTAAAAATAAACTCCCCAACAGGGCCGGATTTACCAGGGTCGGATTTACAGGCCGCCGATGGGCCGCCTGTATTTTGCCGCCCCCTACTCATTCGTTTTGAAACATCAATAAAAACCATCAAGTGAACGTGCCGGAAGGGGAGGGATGCATTTACGCATTTACCTACTCGTGTTTGAAACGTTTTTTGCGAAAGCCGTGTCAACACCTTCAGCAAAATTTCACGGAACTTTGCCCAAAAGTTAAGTTCCGTAAACATATCTCTGTGTGGACAAGGTCCTCCATTTATAAGACATGAACCAAAATATTATGAAAGAACAAACATAAATGTGGTTTAATAATTTTAACTTCCGCCGCTGCGCCGGGCTGATCGCACTGTGTTTGGCGCAATGCGTGAAGTATTCAAGCAGTCTTGTAGGCGCTATATGTGTTACATGTCGACCGCCGCCGAGGGCTTGTCCTTTTCATCTCAAGTCCTCGTCATCATTCCTGTCTGCGCTGACCTCCAGGCCAAATTGCGTGTTTAGTTCCTCTCTCAACTTGACTAATTAAAGATGTTGTCTCTTGTATCACCGAAATACGACAAAATTAGAAATTACTTTACTCTCAGGAAAGAGAGATTTTGTCCCCTTTTCTCATTGATGATTTTTTTTTTCTGAATCCGATTTTTTTATACCTACATTTAAAAAAATTGCAAGAGCCGCCCCCTAAATTTGCCGCCATGGGCCGCAGTCCATGTGGCCACCCCACTAATCCGGCCCTGCTTCCCAAATCCTCTAGATAAATCTCTCCACGTTGTATCCGCAAAAAACCGTTTCATTTAGAATTTCGAAAAACCAATTTTAAAAATCGTGTTTCAGAATTGAACCATTTTGTCTCCACCGTAAAACTTAACTTTCAATAAACTCGTTAATAATGATCAGAAAATATCATCAATGAGTAGAGATAATACTTGACATGAAATAAGACAATACTTAAGACTCATGAAATTCGCTTTACTACTACAAAAATATAGTTCGTCTTCCACCACAAAAATATCAGAAAAAAAAGTTGAAGAGGGCTTTTTCGTTGATACTCCCTCCCGCCTTTTGGTAAACACTCCCTCCCGCCTTTTGATCCTATAAAATATTAAAAATGAAAATAGAATAATATACTCAGCACCAAAGACTCGCATACATGATTTTTAAACAAAATCGAAGTGAAAGACTTATTTTCGATTCCATTGACATTTCAATCTATATTCTTAGTATGCATACATCATTGATTTAAAATCAAACAGATAAACACAGAAAATTACATCCGTTAGAGAACAAGGCTTACCATTTTTAGGGTGATTTGTGATGCCTAAACAAAGAAATCTGGGAACCAGTTAACTTCAGTTTCAACTCAATATCTGACGGGCGGGAACTGAGAGAAGATCCACGTTCTCTGAAGCAACCCCTGAAACAGTGAGACTGCCGGCCTGAACTTTTGACTATATAAAGCCAAAAGTACGCAGGTTTCCGCGACACTTTCGACTCCTCCCCCTTCAGCCCCCCGTCACAGCAAACTCGCAACTGCCAGGGAAATTCACAGGATCTCATCATCCCAACCCTATTCTTTTCTTATTCTGCCGTGCTAAGGACAAAGGCCGCATGAACCTTCAGGCGGTGCCAAATTTCCGTTGGTAAATGACAAATTTTCGAGAAAAATTGTAAATATTTTGTTTCCAATTTTTCCGATAATTTTGTTCGCAATTTTACTCAAAGTTCTTGAAAATTTCTCGGAAAAATATCATAACTTTCCTTAAAGATAAACATTTTATCAAAGGAAATTTGACAATTCTCGAATACTCAATACGGTGTTTTCCTTAGCACGGCAGTGTTGGATTAAGGACAAATCGCGCGCGCGTGCGAACTATGGATTTTTGAGCAATTCCAAAAGAACTGACATTTTAAATCGAAAGAAATTCCCATTGAATGTGTCCGGCCAAAAAAATTCCAGGTGTTTGAATAAGTCTGTAATCCACTCCTTAGCGTAGAAAAGCTTCATACACAGCACACTGTTTCAAATATCGACGGTGTAGGTCGGCAATCACATAACTCGGTTTGCGACGTCGCAGACTTCCCATCATACTTTATTTATTAAACGGGAAACTACTCAACGGACATTCTTTAAAACTGCCATGATTTTTCTTCTCTATGCGAGGAAAATTCTGCAAAAACTTCAAGGAATGATGTCAATTTGTTCTCCTTTAAAAAAATAACATAGAGGCGGAGATTTTCAGACATCGCAAACGAGATATATGATTGCCGACTTACACCGTCGATATGTTGGGTCTGCCAGCACTTTTTCTCGTCATTGGCAACCAGATTTACTTACCTCAAATTCATGTATATACAATCTTACAGAATCTCTCTGATTTCTTACGTGATTTCAGTCATTTTACAGATCATCTGCTTTTTTATTTTTTTATGCCAGGAGAAGACACGGTAAAACTGCAGGAATGCGGAACTTGTTTCGCAGCGTTCAAGTTTCCTATCATACTTTATTTCTTAAATGAAAAGGGCTTAACGTCATTTCTTGAAAATTGTTTTTGCAAAGTGACGATTTTTTTTTTTTTTTTTTACAATGATTTTCACAATAACTCTTGTTTTAAACCAACTACTCTTTAATGTTTTGACGTATAAACTGTGGACGTGCATCAATCAGGATTTTTCCTCAAAAAACGACATGCTTTAGAAAAGTGTCTATCTTTTATCGTCGTATAAATTCTTTAAATATATTTATAAATAAGACGTACCTGACTTAAAAATATTCGCCTTTTATCCAAATCTGGATTCGAGACATGCATTCCTCTTTACTGATACCTTCGGACACCTCCCTTTATTTTCCCTTGTTTTCTCTTTTTTTACCCTTAATTATTTACATACAGTGGCATTTCATTTTCAAAAGCGGAAAAGAGGACGAATGAACAAGAAAGGAAGAAGGAGGAGGAGAAATAAAGGCATGCCACTCCGTTTCTATGCCCTGGATGAGCGAAGTCATAGATGTGTTTTGCAGAGAAGAAAAAATGAATGAATGAATAACCTCGGAGTTACCTTTTCGACAATGCGAGTTATTCAGTTGTTCAAAGTGCTGTAATCATTAAACAAGGCGCCGTCAATCACTTGAGTCACTTAATCAACAAAAATTGAAATCATTTACATAAGACACCAAGCTTATGGATGAGGAGACCAAATCCGTTGTCCACTTTTCGCGGAATCCGATTTTGTAACAGAAATGTTGAAAAAAAAAAATATCTGAAAGGGAAAGATAAAGGAGAGGGACAAGTGGTGCTGTTACAAGAGAGGACATTTTTTTTCAGGAAGGCTATAACATCCTTGCATCGTACAACAGTAATTTTCGGTCCAGCCTCCTTCTCGATGTTGTACCGCAAAGGTAGTGTCGGAGTGCATGTACATAGACAGACACTAGATAGTCATTAAACCCTAATGTAACCAATTTAAAGTGGACTAATGTCAATTTAAAACTGTTCCGTTATCCTTGGACGTAGTCATGCTAAAAGGAAGCATATGCATAGGGTTTGTTTGAAACATAATTCCTTTCAGCATACATAAATTCCTTTGTAATTATTACATACGAGGGGCGTTCAATAAGTAAGTATCTCCCCTCTCTAAAATCGATAGGAATGGACCAATTTTAAAAAAACTTGAGTTCAAAATCTTCCTTAGGATATACTGAGTTCAACAAAACAAACCGCAACAAAATCGGACCATGTGCGGCCGAACGCGAGCCGTTTGAACGCGCCGAGGTGCACACCGCTCCCGCCGAATCCGCGGAGATTTGAAGTCCGCAACAAGAGAAGAGCTTCTCTGCCAACGCTTCAGTCGTTCATCACTGACGAAAAATCAAAAGAAGTTTTTGTAGAATAAGGTGCTTACCTCACCTCTCCGCATAACCAGCTCGATCCAAGCAGGCCTGAAACTGATTGTGAGACTAAGAGAACAGCTTTTGGATACCGCGCCTGTAGAAGTCTTTCAACTGGCTGGGGATGAAAGTGTTGACGGCTTGTTTGACCTCTTCCACTGATTCAAAATGAGCTCCCCCGCGTTCAGATACTAGATACGATAATAAATGGCAAAAAAGACCACTATTTATTCCCCTTTCTATAATCTGAACTCGGGGGAGCTCATTTTGAATCAGTGGAAGAGGTCAAACAAGCCGTCAACACTTTCATCCCCAGCCAGTTGAAAGACTTCTACAGGCGCGGTATCCAAAAGCTGTTCTCTTAGTCTCACAATCAGTTTCAGGCCTGCTTGGATCGAGCTGGTTATGCGGAGAGGTGAGGTAAGCACCTTATTCTACAAAAACTTCTTTTGATTTTTCGTCAGTGATGAACGACTGAAGCGTTGGCAGAGAAGCTCTTCTCTTGTTGCGGACTTCAAATCTCCGCGGATTCGGCGGGAGCGGTGTGCACCTCGGCGCGTTCAAACGGCTCGCGTTCGGCCGCACATGGTCCGATTTTGTTGCGGTTTGTTTTGTTGAACTCAGTATATCCTAAGGAAGATTTTGAGCTCAAGTTTTTTTAAAATTGGTCCATTCCTATCGATTTTAGAGAGGGGAGATACTTACTTATTGAACGCCCCTCGTATTATCAAGCCTTTATAGCGCTATTAGACTTGTAAACCTTTCTTTTCGGGCGAGGCGCCGTCGCCCCTATTCCACTGGACAATCCTTTGATATCAAGTATGGTGGCAAATCATTTTTCCTAAAACATAGTTTCTTACTGCAAGTTTTCCTAATACTTTTTTTCTACTCGTTTTTTGTCCCATCGCAGTTAGTCCTACAAGTGAGATGTTCTACTGTTTTTGTTTTCCAAGGGGCATCTGTCCTAAATTCAATTTTAAAAAAAACAACATAGGTACCTCACGAGTTAAAGTTGTGGCCGCATGCCCGCAGGAAGTGGAGCTTTTATCCTCTTCCTTGTATTGAGGGTAAAGAAGGCTCAGATTGTGCTGTATCCTGTTCGCGCGCTTATATTCAGCTCGCTGAGGGAATTTTACATTTCCTGGAACATTTCCGCATTTACTCTACTCATGTTTACGTTTCAATTATTATTAGATTATTGGGAAAAACACCCTTAGGAAAAAAGCCAGTTGGACATCTTACTCGTAGGACTGTGATGGGACAAAAAACGAGTAGGAAAAATGTATTAAGAAAATCTGATCTAGGAAAAGAAACATTAGGAAATATGACCTAGTACCATAAAGTTTATTGCATGAAAAAAGAAGAGAAAAAACAACATGAATTTCCTTTTTAAAATGTTAAATTTTGGACAAAATTTTGCACTGCGGAGGAAGGGCGGCGGAAGGATGATAAATCCTAGTTGAGAGAAAACGGTGCACTCTTTTTCGCTCCTATCCTTGCGTCACGACCACTCTCCAGTCGGTCTAATACATCCACCCCTGGGTCAATCACATGCATATGATAATTCTCTCGACTACGTCCTACGTGGTAGACTTTGAAGTGACGTCATAGCCTACTCCCCCGTCGTGTTTTACAACCCAAATTAAAGGTTGCCGGGTTCAGAAAGGACTCATTCCAAAAATAAGTTTACGGGACCGATTTTTCCTACGGAGTTCAACAGCCGTAGCATAACAAAATAGATAAGGAGGAAACTAGATTTTTGCGGTGTTGCCTGAACTAAAATAGATGTCAACAAGCAGAAAAAATGACGCCTCAATGATTTTCATTTTGACATTGAGCCACGAGGAGACAGATATATTTAGAGCAATGCCGGAGAATTGCTGACAAAATTTTGGAACGAGGAATATTTCGTTCAACGAAATTTTTAATATGAGAGAGATGAAAATTACATACCTGCAGTCTAAAAAGGCACGGATGATTCTCTTCGAGAAAATGGGAGATGACACCTTTTCTGCTAGTGGTCATAACATGGTACTTTGGTTTAGATAGCTTCTGTTAATGAATAGCAAGATTTTTTAATCAAATAATTTGATCGAAGAGTAAAAGGAGGTAGTTTATTTTATTTAACTGTTCACGCAAAAAAAGTCCTAAGTTCATTATGTCTGTTTCATCGATTTTATTCCCTTTCTTTTCCTGAAACTGGGTAGAGATTTTTTTTTTTTTTTTTTTTAATTTTCAGTTAAATACTCCCTATAGCATTCCAAAAACTGAATTACCATCAGTTTAGATAATTTTTTTACTCCAATAAAGAGCGTGGGGTTGTATTTTTTCCTGGCATTTTTTAGCCTTGGCCGAGGAAAAAAAAAAAATATATCTGTTCACCTTGACTGCATTATTTAAGTTGCAAACTTCGAACTGCCAAAACTCCAGTTAATTGAAATGTTTGCAAAGGTGTTTTTGTGAAGCTGTACCTTGCGCACTTCTCAAAAAGATGTATGACCACCATTTAAACAAATTGATGCCAATAGAAACTTTGTATAAATGACTTAATTGTAAATAATTAAGGAACGCACACAATTTTGGCATAATAATCGCATAGACCTCATTATATTGTAGCATAGATACTTACGTTTGGCCGACACCAATTCAAAGATTAATTTTTCCTTGGCGCTTAAGTCCCATGCCCTCCCCCCCCTCATCCCACTTCCGCTCGCTCTGTTATTTAATTTACTTCGAAGACGACTAAATAATTTCTTGCAATTTGGTATCCTCAGCGATGCCTCAAAACATTAAAACTATTGTGTACGTCGTAATGAATGTTATGCCCTTGATATAAGTCATGGTAATTTAAGTAAAGCCGTGTACTCCGTGTAGCGTTTCAATTCTCAACTTAAAAACTTGTTGCTCTACGAGGGTAGCGGCAGGAGATTAAGTAAGAAATGAGAGAAAGTCAGCCTTTGGGCTAGGGAGGGTTTGACGATTAAGAGTCGCAATGCGTCTGAGAGCATTGTTAAAGCTGTCTTTATGAACGTATGCATGTTTGTAAAACTTCTTTGACTGTAACTTATTTGAGTGTAAGAAGATACGTGTTTTTCCTCCGAAAATTATTCAGAAGATAAACGCTGGAAAATTAAATGTTCATATTGGCAACTATGGCTGTTTAGGTGACTGACCGAGAGGCAAAAATTCAGTCTCTGCATAAATAAGTTTAAAAACCTTCCTCTCGGCTCGAATAAAAAGTAACTTTCCACCCGAGTGATTTCAGAAAAATATTGTGCTTGACTTGTTGAGGTGATGGAGCGATTCGAAAGAACATGAAACGGACTGCACCTAGCGATAAAGAGCTATTTTTTCTGGCTCCTGTATGAAATCTACGGGATCTACCGCCATTGATACGATGCCATCATTGGGATTGAATTACAGAGACATGAGCTAAGTCTCACTTAAGAAAACAACAAGTTATGAGTAGTTTCGAGCTTAACTATTCTCCACTTTTTCGTTTGGAAAACTCAAAGGAGGGTGAGCGAGAATGTGAGGATAGGCATTAAACTTCATCTCTAAAATTTAGTTTTTTGAAGGAATAAAACTTCAAACCTCTCTTACTTGCGTCGGTCTTTGATGTGGCTTGATTCCTCTTGGTTTAGCTTGATCTAATTTGCGTACAGAATTGATGTAAAAATTCTCAAATATCGGTAAAATAATTGCAAATTTTTGGCGGTTGAATGACAAAAAAGTTATTTATTTCCTTTCAAATTGCAAATCTGCAAAATACAAAACTGAAAATATCAAATCTTCATTTTATGATCCTTCTTCATTCTTCATACTTTGAATCAAAATCAGTGCATGAAACCCTCAGACTTAGGGCTGAGCATCATCGCTGACGGTGTATGTCCTGCTCTTCTTGAACAAAGGTCTGGCAGAAACAGTATAACATTTTCTTGCGCACAGACTTTGCTAGTAGGTTATAAATATTGATCTTTAGTAAAAGCTTCCGCTAAGTGTTATCCTGGTAGAGATCTGTTAGAATTGAGACGAACTGATCAAACATGTTTGTTACGCATCTGAAATCAGAAAAAAAATTTACGGAATTTAATGAAGAATCTGTATTTTTTGCATAATATGCCGGTTTCATTGAGGTATCATGATTTCTAATTTTTCGAAGGTGCCACCTCTATATCATCATTCTCTACCATACAGGCCCGCCACAAGGGGGGGGATACTGGGTCCTTGGTACCGGGGCCCGGGCCCTGGAGGGGCCCGTGACGCAGGTGACAAACCACTACGAATCCATGTGTAACCCTTGNGGATGTGGCGGGCCTGCTACCATATCAATCCTAATTGTATTGACTAAGAGAATGATGAAGAAAAAAGATAGGAAATTTTCACTTACTTTTCCTGTTTCTCCTCAGTCAACTGCTCATCTTCATGACACAAGTACATGTTCCGCACTTTGGCGACGTCTTTATCACTCATTCCCCCTCGCTGACCAATGTTTGCCTCAGGGTCCTGTAATAAATCACCAAAAAAGAGTTACTGCTTAAAGGTCCTATTTGTAGTTTTGATTTTAATAGCATTATTTCTGGGAGGGCCAGAGCTCCATATATTTTGATGAAGGAAGGCTTAAGTTGAACTTCAAAACATGAAGATAAAAAATAATTGAAGTTCCTACTAAACTATTTCGCTACTACTTGATGATTGGCTACTTTACCTCCTGTAGATCATGTAAAACCACACAATGTAGTATCAATCATTACATTTTTCTTCGGTGCAGATTTATGTGAGAGTGGAATTCAGAGAGGTGCTATTAAAATCCCCAAAAAAAGAAGAACACTTTGAATATATTAAGGCCACAAAGCCACAAAAGGTAATTTTGATAATTTCCATACATGGAAAATTGAGTACCTACGAATTTTAATACTTGGAAGCATACAGGGTTATCCAAAAGTCACTGACCACCCCTGTAACTTTTTTCCAAATTGAGATAGAAGTTTGAAACTTTGGAAATGTTCCTCGGTCTAAAGTAGCAACTTTTTGGTCCCCCGAAAATTTTGGGGGGCGGCCCTCCTTAAGGGGGGCGGGGGCTAACTTTTTTTTTCAAATGGCAACCCCCCCTTTGTGATACCTCATTCGAAAGATAATAAAAAAAGAAAATTTTTGG